TGCAATCAGATGGGGATGGTGAGTTTGTAAGTAATTTGTTCAAAGAATTTATGCAGTCAAAAGGAATGGTTCATAGGATTTCATGTCCATACACTCCACAACAAAATGGCTTGGTTGAAAGAAGACATGGGCATGTAGTTGAAACAGTAATAACTTTGATGAATGCTGTTAGGTTATCACAAGAGTTTTGGTATCTGTCTTGTGCACATGTTGTGTATCTAATCAACAGAATGGCTTCTAAGTCATTACAAATGAACTCACCTTATTTCTGTTTATATGATAAGCATCTATCTTTGCCAGATTTGAAAATATATGGCTCAGCTATGTTTCCATACTTGAGAAATAATAATGATAGTAAATTCCAAGCTAGAACCCCAATGTGTATATTCTTAGGGTATGCTTCAGGATATAAAGGGGCTATTTGTTACAACTTACATACTCAGAAATTGATCTTATCTAGGCATGTAGTACATGATGAGTCTGTGTTTCATGCAAAGTGTAAACCTTCAGTGTTGTCAAGTAGTGGATGTGTACCACACTCAGTTAGTTCCACTCCAATTATAGTTCAATTAAGAGATCCACGTGAACATGACAGAAGATCCACAGACCAAGCTTAATCTACGACTGATACTACTTCATTGCAGCAAGATATTATTGTGCTTGAGTATACTATTACATCACAAACTATATCATAAAGACAAGAATCTGAAACACAGGAATCTGAGTCATTAAGTTCATATCAGTCTACTCCTATACAAGATCTCAATCAACCCTTGTTACCTATCCTAGATCCAGCACAACTTCAGGTATTACTTCCTATCTCTATAAGTGATTGGAATCAATCCTCTAGTTCTATTCCTACTGATAATGTTATAACTCATTCCATGACAATGAGACTTCAAACTAGAGCAACTGAGAGAAGAGATTATGCTACTTTGTATGCTAACTTACCTGAACTACAGTCTTTGGAAATTGATGATGATTCTCTGTGTTATCTTCTGGCTGAAAGTGTTGATTGTGAAGAACCAAAGAATTTTAAAGCAACAACTACAACTCCAAATTGGCAACAAGCTATGCAGGATGAGTTTGATGCCCTTAAAGGGTAAGGAACTTGGATTCTTGTACCTCCTCCTCATAACAGAATTATTATTGGGAGTAAATGGGTATAGAAATTGAAGAAGAATCCTAATGGTAGTATATCTAGGTACAAGGCACGTTTGGTGGCTCAAGGTTATACACAGGAACATGGTCTAAATTACTCCGAGACATACACACTACAGTGAGGCTAATCCTTGCACTTGCTACAAGTTACAAATGGGAACTTAGACAACTCGACATCAAGAATGCATTCCTACATGGTGAATTACAGCAAGAAATATACATGAAGCAACCACAAGATTTTGTAGATTCCAAAGCTCCAAACCATGTCTGCAAACTTGTTAAATCGTTGTATGGACTCAAATAGGCTCCACAAGCCTGGAATGCTAAATTCACATGTGTGTTACCATATCTGGGGTTCACAGTTTCTCAGGCTGACACAAGTCTTTTTATTAAGACAGATGGCAAAGATATTGTCATTCTACTCTTATATGTAGATAATATAATACTTACATGTTCGAATATCACCAAAGTCCAGGATGTAATTACTACTCTTAGTGAGATATTCGATTTAAAAGACATGGGAAGGCTAACTTACTTCTTAGGGTTGCACATTCAGTACAAAAGCAATGGAGATATGTTTATTAGTCAGACCAAATATGCAAAAGAACTTATAAAAAGAGTAGGAATGGAGAATTGTAAGCTTGCACCAACACATTCAAAGCCTCATACTCAATTACTCATATCTGAGGGCGAACCTTTGACTGATCTGAGTGTTTACAGAAGTATTGTTTGAGCACTTCAATATCTGACCTTCACTAGGCCTGATATAGCTCACTCTGTGAATGTTGTGTGTCAATATATGACACATCCAACTGATGCACACATGTTCTTAGTCAAACGGATACTAAGATATCTTCAGGGGACCCTACAGTGTGGAATTACATATCATTTAGATGCTGATATTCACATTTCAGCATTTTCAGATGTTGATTGGGCTTCTGATATCAATACACAGAGGTCAGTTACCGGATATGTAGTCTTTCTTGGTTCTAATCCCATTTTGTGGCAGTCAAAGAAGCAGTCATCTGTGTCTCGAAGTTCAACAGAAGCTGAATATAAAGCTCTTGCTAATCGCGCAGCAGATGTGTGTTTGATAAGGTCACTAATGAAAGATCTTAATCAGTTCCTACATGCTCCCCCTAATTTGCACTGTGATTATATCTCAGCATTGTCCCTTAGCACAAATCTTGTCTTCCATTCTAGAATTAAACACCTTGACACTGATTATTCGAGAACGGGTGCAAAAGAAAGATATCGTGGTTCACTATATCTCCACAGATAATCAAGTTGCAGATATTCTTACTAAAAGACTTCACAGTCCTGTGTTTGTTAAGCACTGCATCAATCTCAGCTTTGGTCTCCCTAGCTGCGATTGAGGGGGTAATAACTGAAATACAGGTGTCAATTACTGATTGATTAGAATGTAATAAGGAGAAATGTAGAGGATTGCCGCATAGGCAAATTAGTTAGAAATGTGGTATTATAAAAGCTGCTGTAAAACGTTTTCTAGTCATTCAATACAGTTAGCTATCCGCTGCTTATCTTCTTTCTCTCTCTCTCTAATTTATCTCTCTCAAGCATTCTTGAATTCTTTGATCTTCATTTTCTTGAAATCATTTGTTTCTGTTATCAAGGCGCACATTTAAGCTTCATTTCACTTCCATAAGCAATATTCTTCACTAATCTTACGCTAAGGAAAGAAGAAAGGATTTGAAAAAGATTCAAGGAGTTTGTTGAGGAGCATTTCTCTCATGCGGAGGATGCGTGTGGATGAAGATCTAACGGCTATGATTGGTTGAGTCTATCGGTAGAACCTGGTCCTAAAAACCCATATAATTCATGGTTTCCACTTTACAAACTATCGAGTTTGATAGTGATCATGTACATCGTCATCTTCTCTCAGTGATTTACATCTTCAGCTGCTCATACGAGTTTGGTTCCTCCAAATCGCCCACTCGTTGTGGGTTGTGATAAATTGGTTATATTTGTATAACTTTGAAGCAGCAAGTTATTGATTTGGCTTCACATGGGGGATAACAAAGAAGTAGACGAAAATATAGAAGAAACTGAGGATGTAGATGCACAAGATGAAATTGGTACAGGGAGGACCGAATTTGTGGTATCAAATGTAGAAGATGAGTTGAAACCAAAGTAAATATGGAGTTTGATTCGTTGGATGAAGACTATGATTTTTACAATGGTTATGCAATCACAATTGGGTTTGGGATCCGGAAACATAGTAGTAAAAAGGGCAGTGGTGATGAGGGGTTGGTAACGAAGGAATTTGTTTGTTGCAAACAAAGAAAAAAGGTGGATGCTAATCTAAACCCAATTGGAAAAGGTGATAAGGCAGACGCTAGAAGTGACTGCAAGGCGACAGTTGCATTGTTGAAGCCAAATGGTCGCGATAAGTTTGTTGTACCTGTTTTCATAGAACAAAACTACCATGTGGCAAGCGGAGGAATCAGAAATAGTAGTTGCATCCCCAAGGATATTTATAATGTTGAATGGAACTTGCGAGCTCATCTAATGAGCATGATGCAGAAATGCTTAACGAGTATTTTGAGGATGAGAAAGAGAAAAACGAGTCATTCTATTTCAAGATGGAAATTGACGAAGCCGGAATACTAGGCAATCTCGTTTGAAGATGTCGTTGTTTTGGAAGAAGCAAGTATTGCGTGATTCCTCGGCCCAAATTTAGAATGAAGTATGTTGTTGCTTTTGTGTCAAAACAAGTATGCCATCCACAGTACCTTGCTGTCGTCGATTTGGAAGAACCAGCGCTGTGTGGAAGAAGTCGCGTGAAATTTTTTAATTTTTGGGGGAAGTTTCGAGCGGAGATTATACAGTAAATGAACGGTTTTTCTTTTACCCGTCAATTAACGGTCATTTACGACCCGGATCCACCAATGAGCTCGGTTTGTTGAGCAGGTGGTTGTAATTTACGGAGGTTTTGGGATGCTAGGAATATCAAAAACACATGCATGTCTACTTAGGTCCAGCCATGTAGGTGGTAGGCATGAAAGAATGTGTCTAATGTTCCATTTTACATGGCCAAATCCACCAATTTCAAACCAAAGCCATTGTCTCCCTCTGCTCAGCTCCGCACACTTACTGTGCCCCTCTACACAACCTTTATTTTTTTGGCATTTGGATTGAATCGATACAAAGAGAGTTAATGGAGATGAATGAATGAGCCAAAAAGAGGGCGTTTGGAAATCATTTCCTTTTCAAAAAATCACCAATATAGGCTTTATGGGAGGAAATAGAAGGCACACACTACGGAATTAAAGTTGAGGCAGAAGCTATTGGTAGGACAAAGTCGAATACCGGTCTGCACTGCTATGAATTCTGAATTCTTGATACCTTTCCAAACTTGTAGTTTTGTCTCTAAATATCGAAAATAAACATGCTTCAATTCAAATAAAAAAGACATTTACATATGAACATGTTTGGCTTGATTAAGAGGTATGAACTAAGCGGTGCCTGATTTATTATCGGCCCCTGGAAGGGTGGACTGCCGTGACAAAACCACCCGCTGGTGCCCTTATTAAAAAAGAAAGAGTGATCTTCGTCCACAACCTTCAATTTATTTTATTATTTTTTTTTTTTCTGGATCAAAATACAAAATGCTTCAGATACCATCAGAGTACACATTCTTTTTTGGGCAAGATATGAAAAACAAGAGCTCATGAAAAGACAATAAAGCATCCCAGGACCACAACAGAAAAGCAGAAAACAGACCCGTGATTGTAAACTTCCATGGGAAAGGCCAAAAATGTAAAAACAGCAAATCTTCTGTTCAACAAATTTGAAATATACAAGTGGGATCAAAGGAATTAAGGAAGGAAGTTGCATTGTATTTGAATTGATGAATTAATAGTCAACATTAAAAAAGGTAATAAAAGAATCATAAACCCCAATAAATTAAACTAAGAAATCGTGGAGCATTGACAACGTACGAAAAAGAAAGAGATAAAAGAATGTCAAGCTTACTGAAGATTTATATCAACAAGACTAATCTTACAACCTAAACAACACTCAACCGCAAGCCTCTCTCACGAAGGAACCGCCATGGAAAACCAGATCCGAGAAAACATATAGGAAGCGCCACAGAAAACCAGATCCTTTAGGGGAATAAGGGAACGAAGGTGTAGATGATCATCAGCAGTGCAAAGAACAACTTTGATCCATTGGTGGTGATTGACGTTGCAGAAGAGATATCTTGCGGCCTGGAAAACAACAGAAAAATGTATATTCAGAATTGGTATTACTTATTAACGACTCAAGAGGGCTTAATACATTCGGCCACAGCACGTACTTTTGCAATTTGTTGAGGGCACCGCAATATAGAGCATTGTCTGGTATGGGCAGCTCAGTTTTGTTATTTGCTTCTGGGTTGACAACCCTCATATAAGTTTCTTGGCCAAGATACCACGAGTCAAGGTTTTCAGCTCTAATGTTCCAGATTCCAACATTGTCAAGAGATATCAAGATGGCTGACCATGCCCCAGGATAAACCTACATACACAGGCACAGAAAGAATCAAGACTCGGATACCACATGCAACAAATATTTACAGCATTAACCAAAGAATTATATGTTCCAGGACCTCTTCTTTCTTACTATAATACAGTAAATCCAGTTCAATATGGTTATCTATTAGGTATTGGGCACCACCACCGGGTATCATGTTTATCACACATTAGAAAAGGAAAGAATGGGAAGGCTTCACTTATGATTAATGTCATTTTTACTCAACATTGTAGCTACAGTGACAATTTTTGTTTTGTCTCTGAATATTGCATGTTTAATTCCATCACTAAATCTAGTTTCTTCCACGTGAGTGTGCTGCTACTGTTCATATGTTACGAACGACTACAGAAGTGAGCACTCATATTCTACATGCTTAATATTTTTGTTTTTGTCTGTGAATACTGCATGTTTAATTCCTTCACTAAATCTAGTTTCTTCCATGTGAGTGCTACTCTCAATAAGAATGCTCGTTCGTACTGTTCATACGTTACGAACAGCTACAGAAGTAGCGAGCACGAGCATTCTACATGCTTACTATTTTTGTCTTCATCTGTGAATACTGCATGTTTAATTCTATCACTATATCTAGTTTCTTCCATGTGAGTGCTACTCTCATTAAGAATGCTCGTTCTTACTGTTCATATGTTACGAACAACTACAAAAGTAGTGAGCACTTGTATTCTACATGCTTAATATAAAAAATCAGTATGAAAAAGTTGACAGACAAACCAGGTAGGGTTTAGGAGGACAAATTAGACTGAAGCAGAATCGCAGTAATATACCTGTACTGTGGACCGGGCTATTCCATCCCATTTGTTATATGTACCCCTGCTATTCTCTGTCCACTCACCGTAGTCCATCCTGCAATTAAATGAATGCAAGTTAATGCATTAAGGGAACAAGAACTCTTATTTAGACATGTTTGATTAATTAAAGTGCAAAACTTTCTACCCCACAACAAAGAATGCATATCCATCCACGTGGTAGCTCTGCATCTTGGTGTCATTGTTCTGCAGTATGATTTCTATAAATCCTCTAAATGTTGTATTAATAACAGAAGTTTCCAGTTTAGGTGTTCCTGTAAGTGGCCTCGCAGGGAAGTCAAGCTTATAAGCATTCTTCACTTTGAACCAATCAGCAAGCCTGATTGGTGTGGAAGGATTTTTAAATGAGATTCCACTGAGCGTTGTTCGCCGTTTCCCATTAATCATTACAGGTGGCTTATTTTTCAACACATAAACATCAGTAACATTGATTGATCCATATCTAAAAGACCCCTGTGGATTTGGACGTGCACCACTAGCTGAAACATTCCATCTGCAAAATTAGTCCACAAATGTTTCAGAAAGAGGTTTGATGAGGAAAAACCAGTTAGGAAATTCTTCAACTTGTATCATATTTTTCTATCTTATATAATATCCTGAACTTTGAAGTTTTGAAAAATGAATTCAAGGATATAAAAACATCCGACCGTGGAAATGTCGTGGCACAGAATCTAAATACAAAGATGATAAACTGAAAACAAACCTGATAGATCTTGCCTGGTTCATTGAGTAAGTTTTGTCAAATTCATCTTGTGGTCCCGCTGGAAGGGGGCCAGCTGCCTTTCCTTTGGAATTAGTATAGTGCAGGATTCCAACTCCAGTAACTCGTTTCCAGTTTGACTCGTTGACAAATCTAGCACTCGCGACAATGTAATAATCAGAACTTGCATTCTGATCCATGGTTACCAGAAAAGAATAAGATTGTCCAACGTGTATATCTAAGCTTGTATAATTCTGTTGCACTGTATATGATCCTTCTGACTCTGCTAGAAGCAGATTATGGTTCTGGATCCTGAAATTTAGAGTAGTTGAGACCCCGACATTGTGTACGCGAAGACGGTAAGTTTTGCCTGTCCAATAGTACGTTAGAAGATGGAATAATTCAACTTAAAGTCCACACATTCAAAGAAACCACATTTTCAAGAGTACTCATTGACAATACTTGGAAACTCTTTATGCTTGGAATTAAATTTTCAAGCCCCATTCTATCATGTATCCTTTCCAACAAAAAATAAGTCGTCGTACCCAGTGCACAAGGCTCCCGCTTTACGCAGGGTCTGGGAGAGGTGAATGTCGGCTAGCCTTACCCCCATTTATGGAGAGGCTGCTCCCAATTTCCAACAAAAAATAAGTAAATAAACAAATTATGCATGGCATTCCAGCCTTAAGCTCTCACATCTGATATCAATGGACATTGTTCGTATTACATTATAAGATTGACAATCAGTAGGAGCTGTGCCAAAAAAGCAGTAGTTTCATATGCATGGAATGGACATTATCTACTGTGAGTATAACTACTACTACAAATAAACTCAAACAACTATATAACATGGTAAACTTAACATTTTTATCAACATGTGGCGGGTCATAACATGTTCATATATGGTGGCACGCGCGATCAATTCCAAATTTTCACTTGGAACATGCAACAGTTCAACCATTACTCAGTACATGATGATTCATAAATAGTTGCTCAAATTGCCCACCTGGGTGTACTTCAAGTGTTTCGTAATCAATGCCATCAGGAACAAGTGTAGTGTTGTATTGGTAAGGGCCTTTTCCATTGATAAGAACGCCATCGGGCATCCCAAGGTCTTTCCCATCATCAAGCATCTTCCTCAAAGCCTACATTTTAGAAAAAGAACCATCATCATTAAACATATTAAACAGTAATCTCAAATCTGTACTTTGAAGAGAAGAACAAAACTCTCCCAAGCACTAACCGTATGGTTCTTTGTGTACCAGTCACCAATCAAGATAGTTATATCCCCATCTGGGGTTGCAAAAGGAATAGAAATTACAGCCCGGTTATTAATAATAAAGCCACCAAATCCTCCAGACGCTCTCTGCATATTAAGGGACGGGAAGTAAAAGAAGCTCCCAATCTGATCCTTAACCTGAAAATTATAAGTCCAATTCCACTTTGGCGGAATTGGACAGTTGGTTCCTAGAACCCCATCTTGCCATGAACTACGCCGTTGCTGAATTCCGGCCCTGTTGAACAGAATCAACTTCAAAAAGGCAATCCATGTGCACTAATGTAATGTATCTGCTTGAAATTCATGTGCACATTACAGTAAGTAAATCATACCAGGTCATGAGGAGATTCTCATCCAATTTGTTCCGAACATTGACAATGACATTGTTATTAGTAGTGGCGTTAATAGTAGGACCTGGAAACTTTCCATTTATGGCAATAACCTGCAAGATAATGTAGATTCAGAAACAATTAGCTCAAAAGCTCACTACTTGATATCACTTTAAGCTTACACGGAATACCTAATCTCAGATTCTGAAAATTTAAGGAAATTTAGCAGATCTGAAGCTAAAGATTCAAACTTTATGAAATGTAAAGACAACCCATTTCTCATTGATGAAAAAACAAAAAATAAAAAAAATAAAAGCAGACCCACATCAAAAATTAAAAAGATTAGCCAAAAAGTAGTGAGAGACTAAATAATCTAGAGAGAGAAAATGCAGCTAGAGAAGAACCATACCTGTTGAGGTACACCCAGAGGAGAAGCAGTGATGTAAGAGACCTCAAATTGGTAGAAAACATTTGGATCCTCAGCAGAAGAAAAGCTCACAAACAAGCAAATGTGGATGAGAAGCACAGTCAAAAAGCTCAGGGAAGCCATTTCTCCAACACTTTAACAGTGTTTTTCACAATTCTAAAGCTAAATTTTTTTCTCCTTAGCTTTTTCTTGATTTACATTATCAAAAAGAGAGAGAAGAAGAAGAAGAAGAAGAAACCAGAGACTGTAGAGTGAGAGGAGAGAGAGAGTGACAGAGAGGAAACGGAGAGAAACGGCTCTTTTTCTTTGCTTTTGTGCTGGGTGGGTAGAGAGAGAGAGAGAGAGATGGTTGGTTTTGAGGACTGATCCGAAGCTAAGATTTTTGTCGGTTACCAGTCATCAGACATGGGAGCATGAGAGAGAAAGTGAGCGTTTTTAGAGACAGAAAGTAAGTGAGAAAGAGGGAGTGACAGCCAATACCCAGTTCATCGATCTATCTTTCCAACACGCATACGACACGCGCATACGTGTGCTTTTATTTTTGACTGTTGTTTGTCGTGGAAAAAATACCAAATAAATGAGAAAAAAAATTGATAAATTGTTACAACGTTCGGATTTATCTGGAAGCGCCACATGATTGCCAGCCGTGAGGCACTGCCAACAAGTAGCATAAATTTTGGGTGAGGTGGGGTAGTGCTGGATGGATTGGACGGCTCATCACCGTCTGATTCTCGATACGTTTTCTTTTTTTGGTCAAAGCTTCAAAGAGCAACATTTATTACAAACCAAAAACACAAATTTTATAAACTTTACAAGAATGAGGATGTTCGTCAAATCCTCTTTATAAGAATCCCGGAGATTCTCTAATCACATCCGTTGATCGTACATTATAAAATCAATTTTCATTAGGTACTATATTTAATTTTAAATAAACAATCATTTATGACCTCACGATGTACGATAAAACGGATGTAATTGGAGAACCCTCATGATCCTCTCTAAAAAAACAAACACAAACCAAAGGCCCAAAGCTAGCATATGAACAATAAAAAAAATGGGCCAAAGAAAAAACAGTCTGAGAAATTGATTGTCACCACCGCTACAACATTCCAGCACGATCCGTCAAATTCCACTCTTATAACTTCACGTCAGCTCGCCAATCGTAACATCCAACTCCAAGCACCACCAAGTACACTGCCTCAATTGAAGAAATCCAGCTGCCACAGGAAAAAAAGCCTGTGAGAACTCACGGGCAACATTCCCAGTAAAGCCAGTCAAATATAAGAAGGTGGTGGTGTTGGGAACACCTGAGCCTATACAAGCACCGAATCTCTACACAGCAGCTCAGTAAAGTTGGACTGCAGATAGAAGAAAGGATGAACAAGGAAGAGGGACACAGGTGGGATGAGAAGAAAATGACAAATCGAAATAAAGAGCAGGGGAAAAACGCAATTGAAGGAAGGAAAATGAGACAACGAGAGGAATGGGAGAACGGCTAACCAACCTCAGCCGAAGTTAGGGTCAACGCCACCAGATCTGTGCAAATTTGAAGCTCTCACACAAACAGTGAGAATAACTTTCAAACTGATAGAAAGTCTCTCACAATGAGAGAAAAAGATTTAATTTACAATTCTTGATACGGGTTTGGGTAAGTTGTTTTTGTGTTGAGAAGATTGGAGTATGGTATCTAAATTTTAGTTGAATTGGATGTTTTATTATTGATTTATAGGTTTGTGAATATTTGTCTATCATAGAGTGTAGCAATTGTCCTTTTTTTATCACACTATTAAAACTTCTATCCAACCAAAATAAAGGGTTAATTTAATGGAAGGAGACCAATGCTCCATGTGGGTCAAAATCTGAATTAATGCTTCAATTTTCTGTTTTCTTTCTACAAAGGGGTGGGGTGGATATTATAATCAAGGATTAATCTCAGTTTACTGCTCTCAAGTTTTTTTTTTTTCAACATTTGGTACATCAAGTTGTTTCATCCCAAAGTGATACCTTAAGTCATAATTTTGGGATACATTCATACATCCATTAAGGTTACAATTAAATCTACCGTTAACTGGTGACATGGCACCCATATGGACAATAATTGGGCGTCATGTGTCAATATGGCCCATCTTGATATTAAAAAATTAAAGAAATTAAAAATTAAAAAAATAAAAAATAAAAACCTATATACATCGACCCTTCCCCTCCCTCTTCCACTCTGCTTTCCTCTGTCCCTTCCTTCATACACAACCCACCTCTCCCTCACCACCATACGCCAACCCCAACCAACCCATTTCTAGATTTGACAGTGGCGATCCTTGGCGACGACTTAAGGAGTAAGAACTTGAAGGCATTAGGGTACACCAACTGTGTAGGAAAGGATCAAAATTGGGATGATTCTGGAGCGAGGATAGACGAATTGGTTGCCATGACAGCCTGCCCAGTTATTTCATTGGCGGAGGTCGACATGGATGAAGATCCACAAACCGGATCTGGAAAGGAAGTAGGATGTATCCGTGGAGGGGTGACTGGATTTTGAGTTTCACTATCCACATTTCGCCGATTCGATTATCTTCCCTTACTGATCGATTGGTCTTCCTTCCTACAGAAATACATATTTTGGTATGAAAATTCGAGATGGGTTTTTGGGTAGGGGCGTAAAAGGGAGTTCGGGGTTGGGAGGATTTTGGGGAGGAGGGGGAGGAGGAGGAAGGGAGGAGCAAGAGAGAGAGGTGGTGAGAAATCTGCTATATATTGATAGGGAGGAGAGAGGGAGGTAAGAAGGTGGGAGTGATATGAGGTTAGGGAAGCAGATCATGGAATCTGCGAAACATTTTTATGTTTTTGTTTTGTTTTATATTATTTTAATATCCATGTGGCACGCAGTTATTGTCCACGTTGGTGCCACATCACCAATTAACGGCAGATTTAACAGCAATCTTAACTGATGTATGAAAGTGTCCCAAAATCATGACTTCAGGTACCACTATAAGATGAGAAAAACTTGATATACCAAATGTTGAATTCCAAGAAACTTAAGGGTATTGAATTGAGATTAACCCTATAATCAAACACGTTGAACTAATAAGGTGGCTGTAATTTTCTCCCCGAGTTGAGAGCTTTTCTCCCTAAGTTGAGAGTTTTTTCTCATTGTTTGTGTAAGGCATTCAAACTTAAGAAAATCTTGTGGCAACGGCCCTAGCTTAGCCCGCGGTCGATTGTCGTGTCCTTTCTTTATTCTTTTCCTTCTTTTTTTCTTGCCTATATTGTTGTTTATCCCAAATTTTTACTTCGATCTGTTCAATTCCTCAATCCTCGAGGTTATACCTCTTCCTGGCTCTTCCTTGGTCTAATTTTCAGCCATGTGTCTTGTTGGTATCGTGTGTAGAGTTCCGGTGTATACATCGGCTCAAGTGTTTCCAACATTACCATTATTTCTTTGTTGTCTCCCCGTTCCAGCAGTGTCACTCGTGGGTTTCCATGAGCTTCATATTGGTAGTTGGCTTCTCTTGCTTAGTTACCAACCATCACTGGTCTATGACTCTGCTCAAGTAGCAAATCAGGGTTGGAGGTGGCATCTGATAAGGCAATACATGGCGGTGAATAGGGAATCGGATGGATTGATTGGTACTCTAGCGGTGGAGAATGCAGTGGAAGCTTCTGGTTTTGGCTGTTGTGTTTTTTTTTTTTGGACCTTACTATTTATGGACTCTTTTGTGTTTTTCTTTTGTTCTTATGCCCTTTTTTATTTGTTTATATGTGAAAGTTGGACCTTTGGTTTGCTTGTAAGTATGTGTTTGGTGTTTAATAAAATAACCCTTTTATCAAAAAAAACAAAAAAACAAAAAAAGGTGGTGTGGTTATGGTCGATTCAATCTGGTTCACTTCTCAAATTGAAACCAAAATAGGAATATTATATCGGTTCAATTATGTTTGATTTTTTCAAAACTTATTAAGAAAACGTACGGTTCGGTTTAATGCGGTTTGGGTTCGGTTTGACCAGTTTCGGATTCTAATCATATTATACATCTTCTTTTTTCCAATCCTCATATTGTGCCTTAAATCCAATCATGAGATAATACTTTATGAACATTTCACATTTTAAACTAATCTAGTTTAAGCTAAGGATAAAGATTATTACTTAAAGCCGTCTCATTAAATGTTATAAGCTTAAACGATAAGTCTAAGTAATATGTAATTAAGAGAATGTAATCTAAAGAAGTGAGATTCATGAGATCTTTCTCTTTCACAAACATATATTAATCGTTCTTGATCATATGGTTTCCATTGCAATATGGATAGATTAGTACATACTATGCCATCTCCGTGGAGAATGATAAGTCTCGAGTTATTGGTGTGAATGACACCAAAACAAGTATGTAGGTGCTCAATAGAGAGTGAATACACTGAGTGCGATCAATCAAAAGTTCTCATACTTATGTCACATGAGAACTCACTAATTATGATAATGCGAAACAATCTTTTGACCAGAAGCATCATAGTTGTCTTGTGGTTATGTTCTTAATCTTTGACTATGCTAAAGGCTCTCTAATGCGATCGTGTCCACGACATTGTTGTGGTTAAGCTACCTAACCATGTAGGCATATTAATGTAAGCGAATGAATCTCCAACCTTCAAATTGTTGAAGAAGAATACTCCATAATATGATTTGAATAAGATTGAGGAAGTACATTCCAAACTTAACTTGGGTAACCATGACTACTACGAGTTGTCACTCTTGGTTTGTGGAAGCCCTGATGACTAATCTTTACTAAAGGGAGAATTGAAAATAATTTTCAATTCACAATCAATTAGTAAAAGTTCTAATCGCCCACTGTCGTACTAAAAAATGCCTAATGGATGACACACAGTAATGTTTGAAGGATATAACGAAATTTAAGTAAGGATAATTACATAGTTTAATTTTTTTATAACTAAGATTAATTAATATGTTAATTAATTAAACGAATAAGTTCGTTTAAGACCTCATATTAGTTTAGTGCATCAAGGCCCAACAAGCTTCGAATCATCAAGCTCATTATTTTAAGTTGTATGAGAACTTAGATACAAAAGGGCATAAAGCCCTCTAGCTAGAGAAGGCTAGCTATAAAGAGAATGAGGAAGAGTTGGTTATAATTTCAATTGTGTCACTCAATGTAAGTGGCTACATAAATGGAACTATAGCACTTTCCCGCATTAGGGTTGCTTTGAGGAAAGATGAGAGAAAACAAACTCTCTTTCTCTTTAAAAGGCCGGGCATATAGTTTGATGATACTAGATCTTCCTCCTCCTACATCAAACATCTCCTTTCTCAATCCTTCCTTGGTGTCGAAACATAGAGGCCTCCTCTTTTGGTGGCTTTTGGAGAATCTATTCCTCCATCTAATTCCAAGAAG